GGGGTTCTGGTTCTCCTTTGAGCTCGTCACCACTTCCCCTTCCTTAGAGATTGCCACTTTTGCGGTGTTCTCGAGCTTCATCGGCGTATCTGATGTCGTTTGCAGGTGAGGATGCTACTCGAATGGCTAAGTTTGTTGGCAGGTTTTGAGCGTAACGAATTATGACATCTTTGACATTGTACTGTATAAATTGTTCTAAATTTATGAGGAGATCAATAGAAAGGCTCGAATTAACATTGAAGAGTAAAATGAAACTTCTAGTATGCGTCTTAATTGAGGAGAAACTTGCTTTTTTGTCAGTCTTGTTTATACAGGTGTGTATGTTTATTGTGTATTAAATTCGCCTTGGCATATTTACAGGACATATGCTAGAGAAGATCCTTCATGTTTTTGAACAATTCCTTGCCTTGTGGTTTCCCAACAACACTCTCAGCCTCCGATGCAGGTTAGTGAACCCCATGCTTTTTCCCTCAATCCAATGATTGAAAAGTCTTAGTGATTGATTATACAATCTCTTTGTGCTCATTGCAAACTCCTCTTTTATGATGATTCTTTACGTACATGTACATGCATTTATGTTTTAGGGTGTGAGCTACATTTGATTTGAGATTAACAAGAAGGGTCAGATTTATCTGAGGTGTCAACTATTGAAATACGGCTTGCCTCAAATTTACGCTTTTTCAGTACTGGAGTGCCTTGTGTTGCTTTTTCCGTACTGGAGAGCCTTTTGTTTGCACGAATACCTGTTGTGGCCCTAATTGTGAAATTTAAAGATCTACAAATTATGCAGATGAAGTAGACCTATAAACAATTAAGTTTTTAAAAAATAGACAGTTAAATAATATGTTACAAGATGCATTATTTTCATGATTTGAATTTTTTTTTTTTTTCATATCTATATATCTCGAAGTTGTGGTGATTGGTCTAAGGGTTTTACGCATTGGAACAACTTTTTCCCATGGGTTTTTGGTGTGCGCCTCACTTAAATATTGTAAGGTTGACACTTTGTACAAACTTTTTCCTAATACGAAGCTATTTCCTTTTATTCCAATTCATGGAAATGCCTGGGTCTATGCCTGAGGGGAATATAACATCCGGGGTGTTTTGGTAAGTTTTGCGCTGAGGGCAGCATAGACATATTGCCATTTTCTCCTGGGCACCATTGTTTTTAGGGTTGTTTACTCAACCAAACGGCTGCAGCCACTACTCAAGAAATATATCAACTGCCAGTCACACCTAACAAAATTCTTAGGCGGCTCAAACAAACAGGGCCTTATACCTTACACTAGTGAAATCCAACCATTACCTGTGTAAATGTTAGCTATTATTGTAGTTTACTTGCCTATACACAAGAAAGACAACATGCACGGACAACATATGGCTCACCCGTTCCCAAGATTGACGGTAGATATGAGTCTTAGCTTGAATACGACCAACATTTAGGTAGACTTTATGTAGTGCTATGAACAGGACCAGCATATCCAACTGGTTAATAATTGGACAATGCCTTTGCTAATCTAGTCCAAAGTAAAAATATGATTTGATTGACAATCAAATATTCACATGTTTTTAAGCCCAACAAAGCTTTGCAACTTATTTTGTATATACTTCACACTTTCAAGGCTCATATTCTATAGGGTGTGGTTTCTAGAAGATTGCAACGGTAAACAATCCAATTAAGGAGCACCTCCAAATTTTATCATAACATCGAATTTTGGTGGAAAATTTTCTTAGGATCATTTGAAAATTTATTTTCATATCTAATTATAAAATTTTAAACTCTATGAAAATCTTGAAAGTTGATGTTCTAGATAATGTGTTACAAGATGCAGTATTTATGGGACTCAAAATTTTTTTTTTTTTTTTCATATTCATGCATCTTGATGTTGAGATGATCAATTAGAGGGTCTTTCAACATTAAAACAATTTTTTTTTATTATATTTGAGGTGCATTTGTAATTATACATTTTTAAAGTTGCAACCTTATATAAATTTTTTCCGTTTCTATATTCCATTTGCGAAAACGTTTATACAAGGTTGCAACCTTAAAAATGTAGAATTACAGATGCACCTCAAAAAGCTATCAGAAAAGATCATTTTAATATTGAAAAGCCTTCTAATTGATCATCTCGATATCGAGATATAAGAATATGAAAAAAAATAAGATTTTGAGTACAATAAATGGTGCATCTTGCAACATATTATCTAAAATGTCAATTTTCAAGATTTTTATATGTTTATAGATCTACTTGATTTTAACTATTTTTGAAGTGTATAATTTTATAATTTAATATGAAAATAAATTTTGAGATAATCCTAAGAAGTGTTTAAACCAAAATTACATATAATGAAAAAATTTAGAGGTGTGTCTTAATTGAATTGTTTAAGGTCACAACCTTATAGAAACCACACCCTTATATTTATTTTCAAAAAATTAAATCCATACGGGTTTTGACTAGATCAAACCCATGAGCAATTAACTGAAAAACCATTCTAAAAACATCACTTGCTATTGTTAGCCTCACAGCATGTTCTTGACCCAACTCATGAGAAACGTGCCTACGTAAATAGACCGGTATCATATGTATATATGTTCCGATATAAAACCCACATGTATTTGAAATTTCAAAATATCAGTGTTGTCAAATTCACTTCGCTTTGGCCGAAGCCTTAGGAATTTAGGCCTATACCGAAGCAAAGTGAAGCCTGATGCTGCCGCTTTGGTCAGATTTGAGCCGCTTTGGTCAAATTCGAATTATCTTTGAGCCGATTCAGCTAAAGCTTCAGCCTCTTCATCCTAAGCAGAGAAATATCTATATAAAAACATTTTTTTATTTTTTATTTTTTTTAATTTTTTATTTTGATTTTTCGTTAGTTCTATATATTTTTATATTTAGATATCTAATTTAATTATATTAAATTAAAAAATCCGTTGCTAAGTATTGCATTTTTCTCACCAATCGAAGAAGACTCTGAATCGATTGTGACAACATTGCAAAATATATCGCTATCCCACGGTTGACTGCCAAAGAAAATGAAATAGTTTTTTCATAAACATCAATACCTTGTTATAAGATAAATGATATTTGGGAACCTTAACCAACAAACCTAAGTGATGCATCTGAGTAAAATTTTAAAGGGCAAGGTTATGAAGAGTTAGTTGATTCATCTATTTTTATGCGTCCTCCACCAAAATTTTTCTTACAGATGGATTTTGGATATAAAATCTTTGAGGATAAGAATCTCACAGATGGTGAACATGAATCCAGAAAAAAGTAAAAATAAACATAAGAAAATATTTCTGATACAAATTTTTTAACACGATTCATTTTAGATTTTGGTGGAGTTTCTAGCAGTCCGTTGATATCGATTCACTAGCATGCCCCTACTATTTCTTGCATATGGATTTTGGATCCAAATCTTTTGGGATCCGTAATTCATGGTATAACGATTATAAATATGAAAAATAATGAGTATTAAGATTTAAAAGGGTTTTCTTTGAGATATTTTTACACCCTCTTGGTTTATATTTTGACGGCTACTCTTTTT